CTTCCAATCTGCGCCCCATCCCAAGGGACGAGGGTAGGGTGAGCAAGGATTACTCACCTCCGTCACTGGTGCTGTGCAATGCCAGGTCTATAGGCAATAAAACCGCCACCCTGCGAGATTTCTTTATCTCGCAGGGGGTCGACCTGGCTTGTGTGACGGAGACCTGGGTGCGCGAAGGGGCAACAGTTACCTTACGAGAGATGGCGCCCCAGGTTTCTCCGTCCTCCACCAGTCGCGGACTGTGGGCCGGGGGGGAGGGGTGGCATTATTAATCCGGGAAGATTGTCCTTTCAGGGCTCTACCATCGCCATCGATCCCCGGCATTGAATGTGTTGGCCTAGTGTGGGGCTCCGAGGAGAGCTTGGCTGTCTGGCTGGTGTACCGGCCACCTAGCGCACCAGCAGCCACCCTGTCAGGCCTATTGGAGGCGGTGGCCGGCTGGGCCTTGGAGTTCCCTAACCTATTGGTATTGGGGGACTTTAACATCCATGCTGATGCCACTCCCTCCTCACAGGCTCTGGACCTGGTGTCTTCCATGGCGACACTAGGGCTCTCCCAGTTTGTTTCGGGCCCCACACATCAAGCAGGCCACACGCTGGATTTGATCTTTGGCGTAGGTATAGATGTGATCATGTCTCCTTCGATGAAGGTGCCATGGTCTGATCACTACGCTCTGAAAGCCAGGATTGACTTTCCACCCCCACCCTGCTTAGGTGGCGAGCCGATTTGGGCTCGCCCGCAGAGGCTGATGGACCCTGATAGATTCCGCCAAGCCTTGCGGGACCTTGCTCCCCCGGCGACTCATTGACTGAGCTTGTTGAGGGCTGGAATACCCAGCTCCTGGCAGCCATCGATGAGATCGCACCTAAGCGCCCTCTGCGACCCCGCAGAAACCGGGCTCCCTGGTTTACCGAGGAGCTCCGGAAAATGAAGCGGGACCTCAGACGGCTAGAGCGAGTATGGCGGGGTGCCCGTGACGGAGCCTCAAGAACATCTTATAGGGCTTTTATGAAAACCTACGAGATGGCGGTGAAGGCTGCTAAGAAGTCATACTTCTCGGCCTCCATTGCATCCGCTAGCTCTCGCCCGGCGCAATTATTTAGTATAATCAGGTCTTTAACGTCCCTTGAGGGACAGCCAAATTTAAATAACAATTTGACACACAGCTGTGAGGCATTTGCGAGCTTTTTTGCGGAGAAGGTCTTGTTGCTCCGCCATGACCTCCCGGCCAATTTGGATACAATAAAGGAACTGGAGGCCCCTCGACTGTCCTCGGGTCCAGTATTGGACCACTTCGACCGGATATCCCCAGCCGATGTGGACAGACTCCTCCGAGCTGGAAAGCCCACCACCTGTCCTCTCGACCCGTGCCCGTCTTGGCTGATTAGAGCGTGTCCAGACGAGGTGCGGGCCCTCCTGGGGATATCATCAATTTGTCCCTTGGCACGGGGACATTCCCAGGGGAACTGAAGGAGGCAGTGGTGCGCCCGCTCTTAAAGAAAACATCATTAGATCCTTTAGATCTATCCAATTACCGCCCGGTTTCGAATCTTCCGTTCCTGGGTAAGGTGATTGAGAGAGCGGTTGCTGAACAGCTTGGTGGTTTTCTGGATGAAACATCGGCTCTGGATCCATTCCAGTCCGGCTTCCGCACTGGTCATGGGACCGAGACGGCTCTGGTTGCCCTAACAGATGATCTTCGTAGACAGCTGGATCGAGGCGGGTCGGGGCTGCTGATTCTTCTAGATCTGTCAGCAGCTTTCGACATGGTCGATCACGAACTTCTAGACCACCGCCTTGCCGACGTGGGGATCCAGGGCACAGTCCTTCAATGGCTGCGCTCGTTTCTCTCTGGTCGGGGACAGAGGGTGGCGCTTGGGGGGGAATTGTCATCGCGCCACTCCTTGGTGTGTGGAGTACCTCAGGGTGCGATACTCTCCCGATGCTTTTCAACATCTTTATGCGCCCTCGCCCAGCTTGTTCGGAGTTTTGGGCTGGGTTGCCATCAGTATGCCGATGACACCCAACTCTATCTGTTGATGGATGGCCATCCTGACTCGGCCCCAGACACACTGACTAGATGTTTGGAAGCTGTGGCTGGATGGTTTCGTGGGAGCCGGTTGAAGCTAAATCCTTCGAAGACAGAGGTCCTGTGGCTGGGACGGGGCGATATGGGATTGGGGGCAACTCCCATCTCTTGCGGGGCGCAATTAGTGCCAGCACCGTCCGTTAAGAGTTTGGGTGTAATCTTCGACACCTCCCTTTCCATGGAGGCGCAGATTGCAGCTATAACAAAGGCGGCATTTTTCCATCTCCGCCAAGCTAAGCAGTTGGCTCCTTACCTCTCTCGCCCTGACCTAGCCACTGTGATCCATGCGACGGTCACCTCCAGACTGGATTATTGTAACTCGCTCTACGTGGGGCTGCCCCTGAGACTGACCCAGAAACTCCAGCGGGTGCAGAATGCTGCAGCGAGACTCCTTACGAGGTCTTCGCTGCGAGATCACATTCACCCGGTGCTATACCAGCTGCACTGGCTCCCGGTGGAGTACAGGATCAGGTTTAAGGTGCTGGTTTTAACCTTTAAAGCCCTATACGGCCTAGGACCCTCGTACCTACGGGACCGCCTCTCCTGGTATGCCCCACAGAGAAACTTACGGTCTTCGAATAAAAACATCTTGAAGGTCCCAGGCCCCAGAGAAGTTAGGCTGGCCTCAACTAGAGCCAGGGCTTTTCGGCTGTGGCTCCGATCTGGTGGAACACTCTGTCACAAGAGACCAGGGCCCTGCGGGACTTGACATCTTTCCGCAGGGCCTGCAAGACAGAGCTGTTCCACCAGGCCTTTGGCCAGGGCACAGCCTGACTCCCTCCCTCGGCAATCTTCGCGGAGCTCTGGCCCAATGGTTGCCAGTGGCTTGAATTAATTAATTTTATAACGAATGATTTTAGACTGTTGTTTATGCTGTACTTTTGTACTGTTTTATTGTTGTTAGCCGCCCTGAGCCCGGCTTCGGCTGGGGAGGGCGGGATATAAATAAAATTTATTATTATTATTATTATTATTTCCAGCTTTGATTTTTCCACCTGGAAGCCTAGTTTTTTGTCCGAGTTATATGCCTCCATTATTTGGTGATAATGGAGCCAATCTCGTACTCTGTTTTTTAATTTTTCAAAGCTCTGCAGTTTTAATCTGTCACCCTCTTGTTCCAAGATTTCCCAATACTTTGGCCATTTGGCCTCCATATTGAGTTTTTTCTGGGCCTTTGCTTCCGTTGGTGACAGCCATCTTGGGGTTTTATTTTCTAACAAATCCTTATATCTTATCCAGACATTAAATAATGCTTTTCTTACAATATGGTTTTTGAACGCTTTGTGTGCTTTAACCTTGTCATACCACAAATATGCATGCCAACCAAATACATTGTTGAAACCTTCCAAATCCAAAACATCCGTGTTTTCAAGAAGCATCCATTCTCCCCAATGCAAAAATCCTGAGGATCCATGTGGATCCATGCTTTGTAACCACGTTTTTGCGCCATTGCGGCCCCACGAAACAGTGGATGTGTGATTTTTTTTGGTGCAGGCTGTAGCCATGCACATGCTATGTGATCTGATGGTGAATTTGGGGTGACCCAATGCAAAAATCCTGAGGATCCATCTGCTTTTACCTCCGCCCTCCCAGGCAGTCTCCTTTATCGCTAGCGTCCTTTATCTCTCCTCCTGATTGGGAACTGCGACCCTCAAAATAATTGTTTTACTACAAGTCCCATCATCCCTGACCTTTGGGCAAGCTAACTAGGGCTGATGAGAGTTGTGACCCAGCGTATATTGCTGGACAACTTCCCCACCCCTTGACTACATAATTCACATGTGGCCACCATGAATGGTGCAGTCTAATGTTGCCTGCAACGCTTGCATGAACTTGTAAACCACTCTACACATATTTCTATGGCTCATGAGGGAACTTGGAAAACATGGAGATTTCTCCAATGAAGTCCTGGCACTGGGCAGGTCAAGGCTGTGAGATTCACTGTGATTCCTGCATTGCTGGCGGTTGGTCTAGATGGTGCTTTGGGTCCCTTCCAACTCTTCTGTTTCAGTGATTCACCCGCTAACTAATAGGTTCAAATAGGTATGCCAAAGGGCAGGTGCTGAGGATAATCTGAGACCTCATGAAAGTCAGGCGATTTCAGCAGAGAATTTACATTTATGATTTCACAAGCCGAAGGTTTGAAGTCATTCTCGGAATATAAAAGGCTGAAAGGTGAGAGAGGAGCAGCTGGTTTGATCTATGGTATAAAGGCGAACAATAAGTAAAGCAATTAAACAGCATCAAAGGGGAGCAATCAACGTGAATTTCCCCAGAAGTGAAGTTGATGCCTCGGTTGCTTTTTTTCCTCTCCCCGCTGCGTGGTTATATATATATTTTAATTAGACACTGTGATATACCTCTTCTATCTGTTAAGAACTGGACCACCACCCAGATTTCGTAGGTGGGGCGAAATAGAAGCAAATCCTTTAATCTGCTAAAATGGATAATTTCTAGAAGATCAAACAATGGGCTCTCCCGCAACTGAGCTACTGAACCAGAGTTTAGACCTTTCTATAATTGAAAACCTCGCAATGGTCTCTTCACCTCAAGTACTCATGGCAAATAGTCCATATCAGCTGATCATGATCTCTGATATCCTAATTGGCTTTAAAAAAACACAAAAAAACCACGCCTGGAGGGTGAACATCCCCAGAAGATTTAATCTGGAGAGATTGTCTTGACAAATACTGGCGTTCCCGAAGATTGGTCTTTCTTCAGTTTCAACCAAGAGCTTGTTATCTTTTAATAAATTCAATAGTTTGCAAACTTTTCTGTTTGCCCGCTTTGGAGAAAAAGTTCATAGCCAAGATGTGTATGTGTGTGCATGGTCTAATACTTATCTGTCAAGATTCAGGTAGGTAGCCGTGTTGGTCTGACGCAGTCGGAATAAATTAAAAAATTAAAAAATTGTCCAGTAACACCTTAGAGACCAACTAAGTTTGTTCTGAGTATAAGCTTTCGTGTGCATGCACACTTCTTCAGATACACGTAGTTGGTCTCTAAGGTGCTACTGGACACTTTTTTAATTTTTTATCTGTCAGGGATTGCCTCTACTGTTAGCTGTTTTTTGTATCCCTGCCTTTAGTACATCTGATATGCATAGCTTAAGCAGGTGGAATTCCACCCCCTCCTGCTCATCTTCAAGCCAAGAAGAAGCTACATCTGAATACCAGGCCACTGTAAAAGGTAGAGGGGCGGGGGTCTGTTAAAAATAACGATCAGACACCCTAATTTTACCTGCAGGCACAATTCTCAGCCACTCCATTCGTATATAATCTACTATCAGAGACAGTCAGCAATCAGAGTCTCTCAAGCCAAATCCACCCCAAGGATATCTGTTTCTCTGCTACCACTTAAGATGCAAAAGAGGGCGGAAGATTTGCAGAGGGGCAGCTACAGAAACAGGACTTTCCTGCAGGGATTTTGCAGGGGGAGGGCAGTCATGGGATTCACCATCCCCCTTTCTCCCCAAAGTGCCCCAGAGCAAAAAGTTAGCTGCTGACCTGTTTTATTTATTTATTTATTTATTTATTTGAGATATATTTGTTAAAAATATTTTTTTAATTATTTTTTTACAAAAACAAATTCAAAATAACAAAGGGGGAAAAAACTTTTAACATATCCATATATGAGATTCTCTGAATCTCGTGACTTCCCTCCGGTCTCCTGCGTGGGTCCTTAAAATAATTGTTCTAAAACTTCATATCATTATGTAGTTTTTCACCTCTCTAAATTATCCATACCTTTCGTTTCTTTACAAGTTATTTTTAAAGTCCAGCTCACGTTTTTATTTGTTTACAATCGTCTCCTAAGCAAGTTATGAATTTCCCCCGTTCTTTTTTAAAGTCCTTATATTCTTGATTCCTGAGCCTCCCAGTCAGTTTTGCCGTTTCAGCATAGTTCAGCAGTTTGGCTTGCCATTCTTCCCTAGTTGGAACTGTTGGTTCTTTCCATCTTTGGTCTAGTAGCATCCTTGCAGCTGTTGTCGCATACATAAACAGTCTTTTCTGGTCTTTTGAGATGTTGGAACCTATTTATTTGAGATATCCCCCCTCCCTCGCTTGCAAATTGAAGTTCTCAAGGCAGCTAACAGTAGTTCTACAACACTTTCAACATTTTAGAATCCCTTACTGGGCAAGGCTACATCCATCCATTCATCATTTTATTTGTATGGTGCCTTCCCATGCCTGAGGCGGATACAACATGGAAAAAAATTACGTAATTACAAACATAGCAAAAGTCGTCACGTACAATAAATAAAACCTAAGAAAGCACACAACCAAACTGAACAATTTCTGGGGGATTTCCGCATAAAACATAGTAAGATAATAATAATAATAATAATTTATTATTTATACCCCGCCCATCTAGACACTCTGGGCGGCTTCCAAAAAAATATTAAAATACTGTAATTATTATGTACTGAAGTTCTCACCCTGGGCCGGCAGGGGGATACTGTAGATAGTTTTCACTCAGGTCCACATATGCAAATAAGGCATTGAAAGCGACATTCAGTGATTGGATAGTTACAGAAAGTTGCTACTGTTGTGTTGTAGTGGAGCTCTATATAAGCAGGCTGGCTGAACCCTTCAGTTCAGTTCTGTTCTGGCCTGTGAATAAACAAGAGCTGTTTGAAGAATCGCTGTGTCGTCTGATATGTTCACCCACAACTTAACAGTAATACATCAAACATTAAAAGCTTCCCTAAACAGGGCTGCCTTCAGATGTCTTCTAAAAGTCTGGTAGTTGTTCTTCTCTTTGACATCTGGTGGGAGGGTGTTCCACAGGGAGGGTGCCACTACCGAGAAGGCCCTCTGCCTGGTTCCCTGTAACTTGGCTTCTTGCAGCGAGGGAACCACCAGAAGGCCCTCGGTGCTGGACCTCAGTGTCCAGGCAGAACGATGGGGGTGGAGATGCTAAAAGATCTAAAAGAGAGGTACGCAAAACTATAAATAACAGCTAGAGCACTCTGTCCCTGAACAAAAGCCCCTAAACGACACCCCAGCCCTTCATCACCCAGGATGCCTGGGATGTTTCATCTTGCTTCCCAATGACTGACACACAAGTGCACAGAAGCCTCTTTCTTCTCCCCTGCCCCTGGACTCAGATTTATTTATATTAAGCTTTCTTCTGAGGAGCTCAAAGTGGTGAGTATGGTTCTCTCCCCTATTTCATCCTCACAACCATCTTGCAAGGTAGGCAAGGCTGAGAGAAATGATGACCGGACTTGAACGTGGGCATCTCCCAGTCCTTCCCAGTCCACCGCTCTAAGCATTATATCATTCTGGCTCCAACTGAAGGATCACTCTGCTTCTGAATTTCTGGGCCATGGCAGGTCTCAGGGTAAATACCGTATTTTTTGCTCCATAAGACGCACTTTTTTCCTCCTAAAAGGTAAGGGGAAATGTCTTATGAAGCGAATGTGTGGTCCCTGGAGCCAAATTGCCCAGGGGCAAAAAGCAGATCATGCTTTTTTTTTTTTTTTTAAGAAATAGGGAAAGGGGGGTTGAAACGAAGCCGCTGTATTAAAAAAGTTAGAAATTGGGAGTCATCTTATACATGGATAATGCAGAAGGGGGACGGGCAATTGGTGGCAGCTGCGAGCAGGAGATTGTCAGCGGCGATTGGACAGGTGATTGGCTGCTGCTGTGGGAATTGGGCGGGCGATGGGCGGCTGCTGGCAGTGAGTGGGCAGACGATTGGTGGCTTTGGCGAAGCGTATGATTAGCAGTGGCGGTCAGGCGGGTGAGTGATTGTCGGCACCCCCCCAAAAAAAAGTTCAACAACTCTGGGCAATTCCCCCCCCATTTCCTTAATTTGGGTTCCCCCCAAAATAGGGGTCGTCTTATACAAGGGGGCATGTTATACACGAAAAAATACAGTAGTTCCTGTCACTGTCTCTCAGTGCCCAATCTGCAAATAGGTATAATACTGATTCACCTTACAGGATTGTTGCAAGGATTCCTCAAGTAAGGCGCATTTGACCACTTTAGACACAGACACTATTTTTATTATTATTATCATAATCATCGAGTGCCTGCCTATACTGTTTATTACCTGATGCTGTCTTTCTGTTTCTTTTAACAAGCCTAAAGACCTGGCTCCAGGTGTTTAAAGAGAACATAAAGTGGAAGAATATTTAATGAAATTGGTATTATAAACTGCCTGAGATTGCAATCTCAGTATTAAAAAAGCAAAGCCAAAACACTGCTGATATGTAATTTTCTGAGGAAGCAAGCTGATAGATTCAGAGATTTAAATCAGCCAGCACCTCGCTTGCACTCAGCTTACAAGCATTATGGTCTTGCTCAGGCATAGGCAAACTTGGCCCTCCAGATGTTTTGGGACTACAATTCCCTTCATCCCTGACCACTGGTCCTGTTAACTAGGAATTATGGGAGTTGTAGTCCCTCAACATCTGGAGGGCCGAATTTGCCTATGCCTGGTCTTGCTTAAGTGAACACCTAAGGAGTTCTAAAAGGGATGTGGGGGGTCGCTGTGGATTAAATCACAGAGCCTAGGACTTGCCAATCAGAAGGTCGGCTGTTCGAATCCCCGTGACGGGGTGAGCTCCCATTGCTCGGTCCCACCTCCTGCCAACCTAGCAGTTCGAAAGCATGTCAAAGTGCAAGTAGATAAATAGGTACCGCTCTGGCAGGAAGGTAAACAGCGTTTCCATGAGCTGCTCTGGTTCACCAGAAGCGGCTTAGTCATGCTGGCCACATGACCCGGAAGCTGTACGCCGGCTCCCTCGGCCAATAAAGCGAGATGAGCGCTGCAACCCCAGAGTCGGCCACGACTGGACCTAATGGTCAGGGGTCCCTTTACCTTTACCTTTAAGGAGTTCTAAGGATACACTCTTGAGAGTCCCATGGACTGCAAGAAGATCAAACCTCACCATTCTGAAGGAAATCAGCCCTGAGTGCTCACTGGAAGGACAGATCCTGAAGCTGAGGCTCCAAGACTTTGGCCACCTCATGAGAAGAGAAGACTCCCTGGAAAAGACCCTGATGATGGGAAAGATGGAGGGCACAAGGAGAAGGGGATGACAGAGGACAAGATGGTTGGACAGTGTTCTCGAAGCTACCAGCATGAGTCTGACCAAACTGCGGGAGGCAGTGGAAGATAGAAGTGCCTGGCGTGCTCTGGTCCAGGGGGTCACGAAGAGTCTGACACGACTAAACAACTTAACAACAACAACAACAAGGATACACTTGGAAATAGTAAATCTTAAAGAAATCAGTGGGGGAGGGAATGCAAACTTGAGTTTGCAATAGTTAAGGACTGGTTTAATATTCCCCTTTGTTTTCGTGGATCTCCTACCACGGACCAACTTTCACATCACCTGATGTCACCGCAGAGGCAAAGCTGAGCAAGGCATCTGCCCACACATTCAAGCTTCCACTCACCGAGAACTGTGCCAAATCACGTGTGAACCAGCCCGTGTTCACCACGAAGTGATGCGCACTGGACTCTGCCCGTGCGTAATAGTTGAAAAGGCCCGGCGTTTATCCTCCTTTTTGGAACAGAAAGGTTTCCAGCGAGCCTCTTCTCCCAATCCAAACTAAGATGCACAGAGACGCCCGTCTAGTTTCACCCCGTTTACACTGGGCCTCTGGCCAAGTTGTAACGCGCGTCGGATACCTGTAGGGGGCTCGTGGTTTATGGGAACGCACCCCGAAGCCAACTTCTCCGAATTAAAGCTCTGAAATGGGACCAGCCCGTCTCCCTTCCGCGCACCCCGCTCCTCCGCCGCGATCGCCGGGGCTTATGAATAAACAGGAACACACACTAGTGCTTCCTTAGCATCAAATGTGTCGACCAAAAGTTAGAGCACTATCCCTCTGGAGTACGTGAGAAAAATGTCCGTTGCATTAAAAAGAGTTGTCTCTAGCATATTTATTCGTTCTCGTGCTTCCTTACACGATATTTCACTTTGGGAATTTTTAATTTTATTTTTACAAGAGATGCTTCGTCTTACTAAAAATTTGCCTAGCTAGCATAAAAGGCCACGCCACGAAGGGAAAAAAACCAAAAAACATTGTCCTGATAAATCCGAAGGGCATTTGTTGTATACGTTGGGGGGGCGGAGAAGGGACTGCCGTAAAATAAACTATCTTGGCTTTCAATACGAGAAAAGCGCACCGCAGTTTTACGCGCGCTCGTTTTCTCGGCTTCAAGGCAGCGAATGGGCCTTTTTGCTACCAGGGTTTATTTAATTCTGGCTGGATCAGAACCTCAGATTTTCCTCCCGCTCCACTGCCCTGAATTTTTACACACACACACACACACACACACACACACACACACATATATAAAGGAGGGAGATTTGGATAAAAAGCCTCGGTGATTTAAATAGAAATTGCTTTTCGAGCCACCGTTGTGTTCAGAATGAGGCTTTCAAGTGCCTACGAATAAACTTTAAAGTAGGCTGCTAGGAAGGCGCGTCCTCAGGAGAATATTTTTATTTTATTTTATAGCATCCGCCCCTGAACGGCAGGGATGAAATATTATTATTTTTCTCTCTCTCTCTTTGCAACCGATTTATTTTCCTCCCTGCAGAAAAGGTGGCTCCAAAATCGTTGATCGGATCATTTGCATGGTAGTTGTTTTTTTAAAAAAGAACACTTTGAAAATTATGCTTTTCGCGACAATAGCGCCATAAATAAAAAGGGGGAATTTTAAACTGAGTGGTGTGGGTAGAAAGCCATTTATCTTCGAAAGTTTGCCATTGCCTTACCGTTCTCTGCCCAATAGCCCTGCGAGTCCGGTGTGGCGAGGCTCTAAAGGATGCAAATTTTGAGTGGCAGAAAAGCTTCAGAACTGCCTTTTACGCACCAATAAAATGGGAGAGGAAAATAGTGGTCAACTGCATCATAAATGGTTCGGACGGGATTGTGTATTCAAGGCAATCTCAGATCAGGGATCAGGAATTAACACGCAGTTCTGCTCATGGTTTCTTGGAAGGGTGTCCCATGAATTTCACTGGGATTTACTCTCATGTAAGTGCCTCGTGATGTATAGGATCTCACCCTGAGAAACGGCCTCTTCTGATCTCAGGGGTGGAACCAAAATATCGTAAATGCACAAATATCTCTTCTGAATGGTTCAGGGAAATCGAAACGATTACTTAAAAATGTATATATATTTTAAAAAACTGTTCAAGGCACCAGTGCGTCGTCGTCCGCGTACGATGCAATTTCATCAAGTAATTTCTTTTTTAAAAAATCAGGTAATTTTCTTTATGCACACCTGTTGACTCACAACTGAAAGCAGGTTTTCAAAACCACGTGTTTCTTGGATATCCAGCCAAGGGAGTGCTGTTTAATTCATTGTTAATGATGATTAATGAGGCATCTGTACCTCGTGGATGAATTCTGATCAAAACGGTACTCTTCGGGTGCTTTCTGCTTTGCAAGATTTCGTAATATATTCTCCCTCGCCGATTCTAATTTTATTTCGTTCGTTAATTAAAAGATAGACACCTGGGAGAGCTGTGGAGCTAAACATCTGAAGGCGACTGCTACATGCGGCGGGAGATAAAAGGCGGTGGATTCCCCAAAATTAGAAATGTCACGAGCAAAACAACTGAATTGTTTCTCACGAACTAGGAAAGTTGGGGACGCAGAACCCAGTCTCCAAAACTGCATATAATGAACGCCAAAAATTTAAGAATCGAGGGCGTGATATTATTACTACTACTACTACTACTACTACTACTACTACTACTATTAGAAACCGAGCTGATCAGATATTGGAAATAGAAAACTGAGTCTGAAATAAAATGAAGATGAGCGTGCTAGAGGGGGTGGTGGCGAGTGCGAGCTGGTTTTGTTTCATCTTTGGGCCAAGTTATTATTTACACGGTGTAATATAATTTGCACCCATCCTGTCTGGCCAGGTGGAGTGATGGAACGGGCTTCCGGGGCGCTGCAACGCGAACACGCGTAGACGCAGGTTGCATGAAGTATTCTCCCTGGAGTCGATCCTGAAACGCCTTTCGAATCGCTTTCCTTGGGACCCAAAGCCCCACTGACACAAACCCTTCCAAGTAGTCTGACTCCAGACTCCCGGAAAGACCAAGTTTCGCTTGTAGTTCTCTGCGTTCGTTCTTCCCTCGCCTCCCAGGGCAGTTGCAAGGGCGCAGCAACTTCGGAGAGACGAGGGTCCCCGCAGACACGAAGCGGGGGGGCTGAGCTGGGGCGAAAAGGGCCGTCCTGTTACTCGGAAGTAAGCCCCGTCGAAAGCGCGCGGGCAGCATCTCTGGCGAAAAGATGCGCCGGGACTGAGATCCCCCTCATTCTACCAACTCATTGGTGTCCCCCCCCCCAACCTGTCCCACGTTCACTTTAATTCCACCCTCCCCCCGACGGGCAGAAGCAAGCCTCGTCGATCCACAAGCGCTTCGCCGAGAGAGGAGGAGCGGAGGAGGGGACCCCCGGGGCGACCGCGGCCAAGGGACCAGATCCCCCTCCCTGGCAGTGGCGGCGCCTCCGCCCGCCCCGTCGACGGGCTGCAGCCGCGCCACAGCCCCTCCTTCTGGGATCAGCCAGCCCCGGGCCCCGGGCCGGGAGGCTGGGCAAAGCGCACGGGGGCTATAAGGCTCTTCGACGGCGGCAGAGAGGCAGCCCCCTCCAGGCTGGCCCAGACGGCTCTGGGCGGGGACTGGTCCGCCTTCGCCGCGCCTCCCTGCCGCCTGGGCCATGAGCGCCCGCGAGTTGCCTCGCCAGCCCGCGCCCCGCGCTCCCCGCTCGCCCCCGACGGCGCCCGGCAGCCCCTTGGCGCCTTGGTCTCGGAGCAGCAGCAGCAACAGCGCCCGGGACGCTCCCGCCATGGCCGTCTACTGCAGCGAGGCTTTCAGCGTGTATCCCCAAGCAGCAGCAGCCGCGGCGGCTGCGGGCACGTCGGGGCAGAGGCAGCCGGGCGCCGCGTACGCGCTGGGCGACTACGGGCCACCGCCGGGCTCGGGGGGCTACTTGTGGGGGGTGAGCGGAGGGGGCCCCTACGTGCCCAGCGGAGGGGGCGTCGGGGGTACCGCAGGAGGAGCAGCAGGAGGAGGAGGAGGTGGCGGCCCCGGGGGCTCGGGAGCCCCTTTCCTGCCCTACGGCTGCCCGCCCAGGGGCGTCGGGGCACCGGCTCTCTTGGGCTCGGCTGCGGGGCCGGCGGGCGGCTCCGGAGCGCCGTCGGAGCTGGGCTGGCTGAGCCTGGCCAGCCAGGAGGAGCTGCTGCGCCTGGTGCGCCCACCCTACTCGTACTCTGCGCTCATCGCCATGGCCATCCAGAGCGCGCCCGAGCGCAAGCTGACGCTCAGCCACATCTACCAGTACGTGGCCGAGAATTTCCCCTTCTACAAGCGCAGCAAGGCCGGCTGGCAGAACTCCATCCGACACAACCTCAGCCTCAACGACTGCTTCCGAAAGGTGCCCCGCGACGAGGACGACCCCGGTGGGTGCATCGCCGCGCGTGGGGATGGCGGGGAAGCGGGGGAAAGAGTGCCTCTGAGCATGGGTGGAGAGGTCCACGAAGGCAGGTGTCCCCCGCCACTCCAGGCTAGCACATCCCCCCCAAAACACGGAATTTTAGGGTTGGGAGAGAGACGCCATCTGCATTTGCAGGAATCTCAAAGCATCCTTAGCTGAGATTTTTAAAGTCAAATTTAAAACTTCTTTCCCCCCCAAAAAATGTTTATTGGTTTTCACAATATTATAAACAAATAAACACATAAGACAAACAAGCATAAATCATAGCCTTACTGAAAATGACACTTATTAACTTTGTTAAGTGACTTCCCCGCTTCCCCTTGGTTGAATTTCATTGCATCTCCTTTTAAAGGTTTCCCAAATCACAATTCTTATAAAATTTAACTTGAACATTAGCATCCTTAAATCTTCACTTTATGACATTAAACATATGAATTCATCACTTAACATAAATAAAATCCTCAGCCAATTAAGTATCTGCAAGCTGTTTTCAGTTAATTTAACTTAACATATTTAACTAAATAATCATTAAATTTGATCCACTCTTCTTAACCTTACATAATGGAGGCTGCTCAGTCTTTTATATGTCGTGTGCATTTATTATGTCTGGACATTTTTTGTTGTTGCCTAAAAATTATGCCCATAAAAGCTGAATGAATGAATGAACTAGAGTATCTGATCCCGATGTCAAAACATTCTCCTCTTGTACCTGATCTAGATCTTCCCTGATCCCTCCTTCCCTGGTCGGGAGGGGAGGCACAATTTTGGGGTCTTCCTCAGGTGCCAAAATCCAAATGGCCCCTCACATTTCCTGGGTACTGGGGTGTAGGTCAATACCCTTCTTTTCTTTTAAAGAGTAACTTCCGGCGGGACTTGGGAGGAGAACTAGAGTGGTTCCCAAGTCCTAAACAGATCAACTTGGAAGGCCGGTGTCAGTGATCCGAGGCAGTTGTGCGGAAGTGAGTGCCATTAGTTAACTTGCAGAGGACTTTGCCACACCGTGCCTGGAGCGGTTTAATCAGAAGTAAGTCCCCGGCACAATGGGCCTAACTCCTAACTAAATACGCACCAGAGCATCTGTGCAATGCAGGCCTCTTCGTGCTTATAGGATTGCACTGCTAGCGTCCTTAGGATCAGGTGGTAAGCTGTACAGGTGACCTCCCACTAAACATCACTTCATTCAAAAGAGAGACCCCTTAATGCTTTCTATTTGCCAAGCATGTTTGCACATGCAGTTGCAAAATGCACGCACTCCCTCCCGCCATTCCTTAAGGGAAGTTAGGATTTTGGACCTCAATAGTGAGCTGGAAATATTTCAGGATTAATTACGGCAGAGTGAAAGGGATGTGATCTGTGTGTGGTATGTGTTCAGCTCTCCAATTCGACACGCCTTAGAGCGATGTGCTTCCCTGCTGAAAGAAGCGGAGATTTCTTCGGCCTTGAAAAGGAATTTCCTTTTCCGATCAAATAAGGTGCCTTATCACACCCAATTCGTAGTAACGGTCTTCCTTTGTACATGGGAGAATTAGAAATTCTCGCTCATATACACGCCGGCACGTAGATTTGTTCTGGGAATAAGCAACCTATCTTAAGTGATCTCAGTGCAAGCCCTGTGGAACTTGAATACATGCTCTTAGTCCCAATCTTGCACATTTTGTTTTCTAGTTACAAAATGGCTTCTGTCAGCATCCTATGGGAGAGAGCAATAGCTTAGTCATAGTGCGTCTGCTTTGAACGCAGAAGCTCCCATGTCCTGGGATCTTTGGATAAAGAACGGTATATAAACTGAACATATAAATAAATGTTCCAACCCCGGCATCTCCTGAAACCCTGGATAACCTCTGTCGGTCAGTGTAAACGGTAATGTGCTGATGGACTGAGCGTAAGAGAGCTTCCTATGTCTAGATGCCCATGGAAATCATAAGATGCCATTTGCTTCATAGAAGGATTTCTATCCCCTTTCTGTCTTTTTAAAAAACAAACAAACCCCAAATGGTATGCAATGCGTATTTAAGAACTGAATTGCTCCCAGTTAGCTCATAGATGAAAAATGAAGATCTTTTTCCTCCCTCCATCTGCAATAGGAGGACAATAATTCTGATCTAATTGTTAAGGATTCCTGAGGTAAAGTTTGTGATGCGCCTTGAATACTCAGAAGTTCCCTATAAACTCTGCTGATCGTCCCCTAATTGGGAGTTTTGGTGCATGAATTTGCCATTGGTCATTAAGTTAGCAACTTTGTTGACAACCTCGATGATTTCTGCGTACCCCATACAGAGTAGAAGAGTGCTACAAAGGGCAGCTTCTCCTCAGCTCTTTCTAGGCATGCTAATCTGTTCACAGGGCCACCAGAATAAAATACTAGGTGCTGCCCATTTCCATCCATACAAATGCAGTAAAAGGCTGAGATGTTTGGGGAGCTGGTCACCTCCTTTTCTCTGAGCCTATATCTTCACGCTCTTCGCAGTGTTAGATAACTGCTGGATGTCTGGCCTGCAGATTGAAATCACCGTTAAGTAGCAACACTCTTTGCATGTTTCTGCATAGATTGCTATTCTTCATTTTCTTTTTAAAGAAATTAAATAGCAGTTGGAGTGTGCGGGGAGGTTTAACTTCCATCGTGGCCCCGATCTGGATTTCCACACAAACACACCTGCAGCTGTTATTTGCGTCGAAAATACACAGTAATGCAGGTGTTGAGATATGCGTGACTGATGTCTCAGTTCATTTGGCCCTTGGCCCCAGAGAAACGCACCTGTGGCAACAGACCACAGAAAGCTAAAGGCTCTGCTTCCTTCTCCTGTTGACCTAAAATCATGCACCCTTTTATATGTGGATGGGCAGACATATGAACAGACCAAACATGGCTGCCTCTGTCGCATCTAATATGAGCCTCGGCTCACAGCTTTGTTTTGTTTCCGCTTGTATTTCTAGTGTATGCAGTTTGTAAAAATCATTTTATATGGACATGCAGGATAAAAATAATATGGCAGCATAGCATTTGTATGAACTAAATGAATAATAATAATAATAATAATAATAATAATAATAATAATAATATTTATACCCTGCCCATCTGGCTGGGCTACCCCAGCCACTCTGGGCGGCTTTGGGACTAACTTTTTGGCCCTGTATGCATTTTTGTAAGAATTATTACTTATTTTGCAAAAATTATATACCACTTAACTAAAAGGAAGTTGTTTTCATAAAACAGAATTAAAAAAATTCATTTTAACAAATCCGTAAAAGACCATAAAAACAGTAAGCATAATGAAATTATCAGAGTATAGGTACAATAGACAGTGTTTTAAAAATCTAATGCTCATGATAAAATTAGTTTCCTAGGTAGATATATTGTTTTTAAAAATTAACAATAAAAAAGCTGGAACACAATACACGACAACTTTAATATAGCTTGTCATAAAATCGCAGCAAAGTGAAACCGCAGAACAGCACCAGCAAAAGCATTCTCATGATTTACAACACTTCACCCCTCCCCAAAGGCTTGGACAAAGATGTTCATCATCACCTGGCGATGAAAAGGAAACAGCGCTGTGGCGAGACACACCCCAGAGCGGGGGCTTTTCTGTAGGCACAAAGCTGCCGCAGAAAAAGCCCTTACTGGTCTGCAGTGCCCATCATCCCTGACTGTTGGCCTTACTGCCCGGGGCTGGCATGCGTATGAGCCTGACGACAGCCTGCTCTCGCATCAGACGCAACTTGGGCCAGCCCAAGCTCAAGACATTTTGCCACCCGAGGCAAAGAGCAAGATGGAGTCCCTCTCAGTTGCACAGACAGAAGCCGACTGGACTGGAAGCTGGACCAGAATTTCAGGCTTACTGTACCTCAGGCTAGTTTAGGGGTCCCCGGACATATCCGGGTCTGTACCCCAACAGAGGGAAATGGCCAGGAGGAACTGTTGTGGGTGGTTGCTGTCACTGCCCCCAGCATCTGACGCCTAAAGCGACTGTCTCCCTTTGCCAAATGGAAGTGCCGTTCCCAAACTCCGTGTTCCTTGGCAGTCAGTTTGAGATGCCCTAAGATGAATCCTGTGCCGCAGACGATGACTTTTTTAGTAAAAAAAAACCAACGGCTCAAGCAAGCACTAGGGAGGAATGGGTTAGAGTTTCTGTTCGGAGAAGCATCGCTCTTGCACATTGAGCGAGGCAGGGAAGCTGTCCTGGACAAAGAGGCAAGAAGGAGTAGCTTGCTGAGGTGCCTGGCTAAAAGTTGTGCTCCCTTCCCAGAGAAAATTACCTCAGCGGTGAGGAAACCTCGCTGTACACAGCCGTACACAAACATAGATTGTGTACGTAGATGTACACAGTCACACTTTCTCACTTGCCGCAAAATATTTTCCGGGGATAAATTGGTAACTGAGAAGCTGGGCTGCAGCTTAAATGAAAATTGGAGATCCCTCCTTCTGTGAACATCCATGAGGAGGAAAAGAAAGGGCAGTTATTTCCTTCAGATGAACCACAATCTAAGGATCCCCAGCTTTCATTTTTCTTTTTTCAAAGAAAGAGTGCGTTTCTAGCGTTCGTAGAACCTGAGATATGAGGCAAAATGTACAATTCTCCATTTTTTCGGTGAGGAAAAAAAGGTTCCTCGGTGTGTTCTCCTCCCAAATTTGGATACCCATGCCCCGGGCGATGTGGGGCTTGTTATGCCAGACTGTTATGTCAGTCGTTCTTTGAGGGGCATTTGTGGGTGCTATTGACGATGGCAAGAGAGAAACTGGGGACATCACAAGTGTATGTGTCAGGGGTGGGAGAAGATGCCACCTTATCCATGGAGGTGTTCAAGTCTCTGTTCAAATGGTCGTACAAGGAATGTGGCTAATACAATTTCTCCAAATGGCTTGAACAAGTGTTACAAGTGCGGATCTTGAACAGGGAAAAAATAAATCTGCAGCTTAGAAAGACTTAATTTCAGATGAACGAGGCAGGGATTTAAGGGTGACGGGCATCCTGAACGCTTGTCGACTTCAGGTTTTAACAGCTGTTATAATTGGCTAGAAATCCTCCTCTTTCATAACAAGAAACCAGCTTCTGACCGTCATGGTTCATTGCAAGAGCTGGGAAAGTATGCTTAAAAACAGATTTATCTTTTAAAGCACTGGTGTGTGCTTTTGAAACCAACTCGTGAACACATGATCTTTGCAGATGGGAGATTCTGGAAGAGGAAGTTGGGAAGAGAAGAGGCCGTAGATGGTATTAAGTTTGGGCGTGGGGAAGCCAGACTCAAACCCTTGCTCAACCAAGAATGCTACTTCCATCACAGGGCCAGCCAATGGGGTGCTCTCCAGATGTTGAACTACAACTCCCATCATCCCTGACCATTGGTCATGTGGACTGGGACTGATGGGAGTCATAGTCCAACAACATCTGTCCTGCTGTTATTCCAATTACTGCCTAATCTACCTTCCCGGGTGGTGGTGGTTGATAAATGAGACAGGAGTTCTGGGCTATGCGTGTCTTGTACGCACCTGGCTAGGAGGCAAACCCACAACACCCATTGACAAAATCAGCATCCAGTTATTGAGCAAAAATTTGTGAAGAGATATCATGTGATTTCTGTATGTGAGGCTTAGTTCACCTTTTGAGCCTCCCTAGAAACCTCTTCTTATCATTGTTACAGCAGAAGAGAATACTTGTACAGTGGTACCTCTGGTTACGTACTTAATTCGTTCTGGAGGTCCATTCTTAACCTGAAACTGTTCTTAACCTGAAGTACCACTTTAGCTAATGTGGCCTCCTGCTGCTGCTGCGCCGCTGCTGCACCATTTCTGTTCTCATCCTGAAGCAAAGTTCTTAACCCGAGGTACTATTTCCGGGTTAGCGGAGTCTGTAACCTGAAGCGTATGTAACCTGAAGCATATGTAACCTGAGGTACCACTGTAATACAAATGAAGCACCTTGATCCATGTAGGATTTTTCTGGGGGGTACGCAGAGGTACGCATACCCCTAAACATTTTTGTGAATCTACGTTTGGCCTCATTGAGGGGCAGTATTTCAATATGAGTAGGAAAATGAGAGGGACACGGGTGACGCTGTGGGTTAAACCACTGAGCCTCTTGGGCTTGCCGATCGAAAGGTTGGCGGTTCGAATCCCCGTGACGGGGTGAGCTCCCGTTGTTTGGTCCCAGCTCCTGCCAACCTAGCAGTTCGAAAGCACGCCAGCGCAAGTAGATAAATAGGTACCGCTCCGGTGGGAAGGTAAATGGCGTTTCTGTGCGCTGCTCTGGTTTCGCCAGAAGCGGCTTAGTCATGCTGGCCATATGACCAGGAAAAACTGTCTGTGGACAAATGCCAGCTCCCTCGGCCAGTAAAGCGAGATGAGCGCTGCAACCCCAGAATCGTTCATGACTGGACTTAATTGTCAGGGTTCTCTTTATGTTTAGGAAAATGAGGGTACCCCTAAATATTTTTTTTAGAAGAAAAAAAGCACTGTGTGTAAGCCTGAGGTGGGAAGACAGTGGATTGGGATCTGCCGGTAGATCTCTGGACGATCTGACTCCTGAATTGTTTAGCGAAAAAAAAGAACTCTCCCCACCTCTGAAATTAAGCTGCCAAAATGAAGAAAGCTAACCAGGAGTGGACTTTGGTGTGAAAGGAGTCAAGTTCAGTTCTAGTGCTGAAAACAAATTCCTAAGCGCAGCACACAGAATTCTAGAGTCGGAAGGGACCCCAGGGGTCATCCATTCCAGCCCCCTACAATACAGGAATCCTACCCACAGCCAACCCTGGGTGGGCCTGAACCACCAACCTTCTGGTTAACAGCCAGACACACGGACTCATTGCAACACAGAGGTGCTCATAGGCACTCCGTAATGGAGCGCTAGGGGCAAAAGCCTCCAAAAAAGATTCAACAAATCTGAAGTCCGCTCGCTCTGATATACAGTTCGACTCACAGGCTGATTGAAGCAAAAGCCGTTTTACACTTCATATATTAAACTGCAGTGTAGAATTTCAACTGCAACAGTTTTCTTGGCAAGAAGGATTGAACAAGTCTGCTTTTCCGCAAATGTTCACTGCTTCCAGCTTTGTTTACCGTTAAAAACAAAAAAAGACAAACAGTGATGGAGAACCTGTAGCCATCGAGATTTTGTTGGATCCCGGTTCCCATCAGCTGTGTGAATCATTTGTTAGAAGTTACTTGGTTTCAGAGGCCCAAAGGGAACAACACACTGATTGAGGAAATGATTTATTTCAGTTGTAATAAAATATTTGGCCTCTGATGCCCTGCCCTTTGCAGAACAAAGGATACCCAGTTTAATGAGCAGCAAGCATATGGGAGAAGTAAGATACTAAGTAATGCCGACAGGACTGTGGATCAGGAGGTGCATTGTACGTGGGATTTAAATAAAGGCTTCTGTAACTTTTCAGCCAGCCGCTCCTGAAGGTTGGGGGACGTTCTGAAGTGGTCTTGTGCGAGTGCGAGCACTGGAATTGAAAGTGAAAATTGGGAAGTCTGCGTTTGTATATGTGCACATATTGTATGTATGCACCTAGCTCTTTGGATCCTGGCCAGAACTAGGGAGTTATGAACAGGGCTGGATTTAGGTTTGATGAGGCCCATAGCTCCTGAAGGTAATGGGGCCCTTTATATGTCCAGCCGTCCTTTGTCAACAACAAATTGCTGCTGTTTTTTGTGTTGAATATATGCTGTATGGTAATTTATGGACCTAATAGGTATCTAAAGCCATTTGCACATACAGTGGTACCTCCAGTGCCTTTATTTGACACGCTGCAGCAGTTGTTATTTAATTGGTTGATATTTCACAGCTGACATAGAATGGGATTTCGTATCTGGTAGTACAGTGGTACCTCGGGTTAAGTACTTAATTCGTTCCGGAGCTCCGTTCTTAACCTGAAACTGTTCTTAACCTGAAGCACCACTTTAGCTAACGGGGCCTCCAGCTGCTGCCGCGCCGCCAGAGCACGATTTCTGTTCTCATCCTGAAGCAAAGTTCTTAACCTGAAGCACTATTTCTGGGTTAGCGGAGTCTGTAACCTGAAGCGTATGTAACCCCGTAACAAAATATGTATTTTACCAAAGTGATTGATATAAAAATGAGCAAATCAGTGATATTTTAGATAGCAGGCTAGCAGGCGGGGCCCATTACTTACATCATAGGCGCCTACACAACACAAAACACTGTTGCTGTATATAGGTATTATTTTATTTGTTTTTTTATCTTATATTTTGGAAATGTACATCCAGTTGTTTTTTCCCTTTAAAATTTTTTGGGGCCCCCAAGAGAGTGGGGCCCTAAGCTATAGCTTGTTTAGCTTATACGCAAATCCGGCACTGGTTATGAATGTGTTATATTTGCTAGTGGAGATTTCTCAGTTTTATTATACAGCAGAGCAAACTTAACCTGGTAAAATAAGAGGTCCTAACTCACGAAGTCAAAGTGAGCTGCGATGAATTCTAGAAACAAAGAGCTCAAGACTGAACGTCCCGATTTAATTTTATAAACTCGAACCACACTTTTCTCACACATAAAAGCACATCATGCAAAAAGGGGGGCGGGGAGGACAATGCAAAATTTCACAAAAAGCCAAACAATCTCAAATAAAACATCAGCCTTCAGTTGGTTACTGGGCTCTGCAAACCTGAACATTCACTTGGTGACCTGAGTTGCATGCGTTGCTCTCTGGTTAAAATCCTGGGATATGTTTAGATGATCGTGCCCTCATTTGTAGGACTGAGTGTGCTCATTTTGGGTCCAGGCTTGAAGCTTCGAGTACAAACATGGGTAAAGATGGTTATTTGCCCGTTTTCTTAAATGGAAACCTTTATCAGAAGCCAAGTCTTAGCAACCTGTCTTTCAAACTTGGTTCGGTGGTATCTGGCGAAAAATACAATAACTGCTCCTAAGTTTCCTACTACAGTGGTACCTCGGGTTAAGTACTTAATTCGTTCCGGAGGTCCGTTCTTAACCTGAAGCTGTTCTTAACCTGAAGCACCACTTTAGCTAATGGGGCCTCCTGCTGCCGCTGCGCTGCCGGAGCCCGATTTCTGTTCTTATCCTGAAGCAAAGTTCTTAACCTGAAGCACTATTTCTGGGTTAGCGGAGTCTGTAACCTGAAGCGTATGTAACCTGAAGTGTATGTAACCCGAGGTACCACTGTAATAAAAAACATCGTCTTATACAGTGAGAAATAAGGTACTTCAGGGATTGGGAGCTGCGACCCTCAAAATAATATCCCTGGTACAGTGGTACCTTGCGTTAAGTACTTAATTCGTTCCGGAGGTCTGTTCTTAACCTGAAACTGTTCTTAACCTGAAGCACCACTTTAGCTAATGGGGCCTCCTGCTGCCGCTGCGCCACTGGAGCCCGATTTCTGTTCTGAAGCAGAGTTCTTAACCTGAAGCACTATTTCTGGGTTAGCGGAGTCTGTAACCTGAAGCGTATGTAACCCGAGATACCACTGTATTGACTAAACGCTAGGGTCATGACCCAGCAGCTACTGTGTGGCTGTGTGAGATTGATGGGGATCCCATATTCTGCTTCACGCCCCCTCCCCAATTGCAATATGCCCAACTATTTTGTGCTGTGGGAGCTTCATGCGTTCTTCCCATACGTGGATAAGAACACAGTGAACAGCCAGATGCCTTTGGGAAGACAGGACCCGGGTGCAACAACACTTTCTCTGCTTATGATTCCCGGCAACTGAAACTCGGGGCATCCTGCCTTCTGTCAGTGGAGGTAGAAAAATGGGACCAGTAGCTCCCTTTCTTCCCATAGTCGTTCCTGAAGAGAATGGAAAGTCCAAGTCATTTATAGCTGAAAACGCTTCAGTACTTGGGAGAGGCAAAGCACAGAGCAGTCGGGCCCACCACTGTTTATTTCCTTGGGGAAATACAGTGGTACCTCGGGTTACGTACTTAATTCGTTCCGGAGGTCCGTTCTTAACCTGAAACTGTTCTTAACCTGAAGCACCACTTTAGCTAATGGGGCCTCCCGCTACTGCCGCACTGCCGGAGCACGATTTCTGTTCTCATCCTGAAGCAAAGTTCTTAACCTGAGGTACTATTTCTGGGTTAGCGGAGTCTGTAACCTGAAACGTCTGTAACCTGAAGCGTATGTAACCCGAGGTACCACTGTAAACGTCAGAGCTTGGCATCGAGTTCTTGCATAACAGAAACTTGTTTCGGAGCTGTTCTTTCTCGGTTGAACTGCATATGTACCTCATTTTTCAAATTTTAACGGTGGCTTTCATTTTTTGTATGTGGCATGTTAGGGACTGCAGACCATCCTCAGCGACTGATTGATCTGGAAGCAGTTTTAAATAAAACACAGGTTTACTTGTTTGAAGCTTTTTTGGTTGGTGTTAAGTACAATAGGGAATGAATGAGTGAGTGAGTATCTACAGTGGTACCTCGGGTTACATACGCTTCAAGTTACATACGCTTCAGGTTACAGACTCCTCTAACCCAGAAATAGTGCTTCAGGTTAAGAACTTTGCTTCAGGATAAGAATAGAAATTGTGCTCCGGTGACGCGGCGGCAGCAGGAGGCCCAATTAGCTAAAGTGGTGCTTCAGGTTAAGAACAGTTTCAGGTTAAGAACAGACCTCTGGAACGGATTAAGTACTTAACCCGAGGTACCACTGTATGTCTATACACACATGCCTTTCAGCAAAGATGGATAAATATTTGTTAATTGCATAGTAATTTCTTATACTTCCCAGGGAACTCCCCTTCCTCGCCAAAAGCTTCTACATTATAAGTTTGCTAATATGGATTTCCCCCCCCCCCCATTGAGTCATAGAGTTGGAAGGGACCCCCGGGGTCATCTAGTCCATCCACCTGCAATGCAGGAATCTCTACTAAAGCATCCATGACCGTTGGCCATTCATTCTCTGCTTAAAAACCTCCATTGAAAGAGAGAGTGCACCACCTCCCGAGGGAGTCTGTTCCACTGTCAAACAGCTCTTACAGTCAGAAAGTTCTTCCTTTTTTTTTATAATAATTTTTATTAATTTACAACAAAACAAAACATACTAATTTCACATCCAATTTTTCACAAATTGTTTCTTTTCTGGACTTCCTTCAGCTTTTCCGTGAATCATCCATAGTCATTAATTTAATTACGCATTCCCTAGTTTGTATTGTCATTGTTTATACCCTCCATTTCTTTTCCCTTTGGACAATACTTCTCAGTTTTTCACAGTGCTTTTTTAAACCCCTCTAGCGTTATCTGTCCCTCACTTATGCTTTCCAGATATTCCACAAATTTCCCCCAGTCCTCGATGAACTTTTGGTCTCTTAAATATCTAATCTTCCCAGTCAATTTGTCCAACTCAGCATAGTCTCACAACTTCATTCTCCATTCTTCCACCGTCGGTATTTCCTGTTGTTTCCATTTCTGAGCCAGTAGCACTCTTGCTGCTGTCATTGCATATTGGAAAAAATTACAATCCTTTCTCTTTATCTCATTTCTTCCTGATCTTTAGTTCTTCCTGATCTTTAGTCAGAATCTACTTTCTTGTCCCTTGAAGCCATTGGTTCGGGTCCCATGCTGCAGAGCAGCTGAAAACTAGCTTGCACCACCTTCCGTGTGATAGGCCTTTAGATATCGGAAGATGGCTATTATATCTTGTCTTGGTCTCCTCTTTCCTGGACTAAACATACCCAACTCCCTCAACCGTTCCTCACAAGGCTTGGTTAATGATCTGTTAAGCGATTCAAAGAATTGGTTAGAAAGCCTTCGGTTTCGATCCTATACATCCATGTACCTCGACATCTGCCCCATTGAACTCTGTGGGACTTTTGAGTGGACATTCAGAGGATTACAACGTAATAATTCTTAGTTGACTGAAAGGAGAGATTTTATAGTTTGTTAAGTTTTATCCCTGGTACAGTGGTACCTGGGGTTAAGAACTTAATTCGTTCTGGAGGTCTGTTCTTAACCTGAAACTGTTCTTAACTTGAGGTACCACTTTAGCTAATGGGGCCTCCCGCTGCTGCCGCGCCGCGGGAGCACAATTTCTGTTCTTATCCTGAAGCAAAGTTCTTAACCCGAGGTACTGTTTCTGGGTTAGCGGAGTCTGTAACCTGAAACGTATGTAACCCGAGGTACCACTGTAATAAAAAACATTGTCTTATACAGTGAGAAATAAGGTACTTCAGGGATTGGGAGCTGCGACCCTCAAAATAATATCCCTGGTACAGTGATACCTCAGGTTAAGTACTTAATTCGTTCTGGAGGTCTGTTCTTAACCTGAAACTGTTCTTAACCTGAGGTACCACTTTAGCTAATGGGGCCTCCTGCTGCCACCGCTGTGTCATTTCTGTTCTCATCCTGAAGCAAAGTTCTTAACCCGAGGTACTATTTCTGGGTTAGCGGAGTCTGTAACCTGAAGCGTCTGTAACCCGAGGTACTACTGTATGCTTATTCTTTTCTAGTCCTAGGTATGGGAGCACCTAGAAAAATAGGTGCTGGTACTCACCATGAAGTAGTTACAGTAAGTGCCACACCTTTTATCAACAAAGAAAAGAGGTACTGGTACTGCGTACCCTTGAGCACCCCCTGGGAAAAAACAACTACTGGGATTGGGAGCCTTTGCCCCCTGGAAATGCTGCTGAACTACAGCTCCCATAATTCCTAACTGCTGCCCATGCTGGTGGGGCTGATGGGAGATGGATTGCAGCAACATCTGCGTTCCACAGGTTGCTTAGGTGTAATGATCTCAGGCAGGCAAGCAAGCCCCGATAAGAATTCATGAGTCTCTGACAGTTTTATGGTACGTTTATTTACAGTTAAGGACCTGGTCTGTGACCGTAATAATAAATTCATTCAATATTTACAATTAACATCCAGAGTGGAGCTCCGAGCCTTCCGCTCTTAGCTATGAGTCGGTCACACTGAGTCTCCGCCCCTTTTGCAGAATGAAGGGCGCCAAAGTCCAGTCCTTCGTCTCTTGTACTTCTGTTGTGTTGTAACCCTTTCAGCTCTTCTGGTTCGGGGAGAAGGTGGGTGAACTCCCCCCCCCGCTATCAAACAAAGATCCCTCTAAACACTGCCTGCCTCCTGGTTGCATAGCAACCCCCTCAAAGCCATCTATCTCCTCCCCTTCCTCTGCTTGTGAGCTTTCTGAGTCTGCTGCTCTATCTGAGTCTGGGAACTCTTGATGAAGGGGGGGGGTGAACTAACCCACTCCTGCTCTGTCTGTGGCTGCAATCCCTCATCTCTAGAGTCTGATTCTGGCTCCCTCTGTACTGACATTCCTTCATCTCCAGAGTCAGACTCTTCCCAGGGGTTCGATTCAGCCATGTCCCTGATGCTAGGCCTGTAGGACCTTTGTCTCTCTTTGGCGTTATCTTAATTACAGTGGTACCTCTAGTTGCGAACGGGATACGTTCTGGAGCCCCATTCGCAACATGAGCAGAACGCAACCTATGTCTGCGCGTGCACGGGTCGTGATTCACCCCTTCTGTGCATGTGCGTGACATCATTTTGAGCGAGTGCGCGAGTGGCGAAACCCGGAAGTAACCCGTTCCGTTACTTCTGGGTCGCCGCGGGACGTATCCTGAAAGAACTTAACCTGAACCGAACGTAACAAGAGGTATGACTGTACTTATAAAGGTATCTATATACTGCTGATATCAAAAAAATATACCACAGAGGTTTACTACAATAGAAAAACATTGAAACCAAACAACAGCATCTTAAAAAGTTTAAAAACAAGTTAACATAAATTACGCATCAATTGTGGCCTACGCAACTCCACAAATGTTCAGAACGGGTGGGACGGGACTAAGATGTTATTCGGGGAGTGTACGGTTCTGCAGTCTAAAGGAAAGGCTTCCCTTTTAACCCCCTGGTCTCTTGTCGTCCTCCAGGAAAGGGAAACTACTGGACCTTGGACCCGAACTGTGAGAAAATGTTTGACAACGGGAACTTCCGGCGCAAGCGCAAGCGCCGCTCTGACCCCAGCAGCTCTGCCGCGCCAGCCACGGCTTCCACGCTGGGGACTCTGAAGTCGGAGGAAGGCCACGCCATCCCTTTAGTCCCGGGGAAGCCGTGTGGGGAAAGCCCCTCCTCCGATCTGGAGCCGATGGCGTCCATGAGGGACCATTCCAAGAGCTCCTCCCCACCTGTGATCGTCTCGCCCGCAGCCGGATGCCTCAGCAGCTTTTTCAGCAGCATGAACTCGCTGAGCAACGGCGGGCGCCTGGCTGGGAGCCTTGGCAGTGACCTACACCACAGGAACCTCCCTGCGGGACACCCGGGCGGCTGCAGCTTCGCCCAGGAAGTCGCCCCCGCGGAGCAGCTCCAGCGAGTTTCGGCGCCCGCTGCTGCCTACTACAGCCCCTTCCACCCCGGCAGCGGGGGCCAGTCAGGCCAGTACAACCACTTATACAACTTCACAGTCAATAGTCTCATCTATGCCCGGGAGGGCACTGAGGTGTAGGGCCTTAAGGGGTCATAGGAAAAGGCCAAGTTTACGTTTCTGCACCCAGGAAGAACGTGCCTTTCTTGTCGTTTCTGAAAACAGACTTCACGCAGGGACACCAGTAATGCCCAGGAGCGAAAGTGTTTGAAAGATACGGATCTCTCTTTTTCATATATATTGGAATGGGGGAATTGTGCAGCCCAGACTAGACAACTATCTTTCTCCCTGTTGCATTTTGCAAGCAGGCCACCGAGTTCTGTAAATGAGGGTCGTTTGGACTGAAATGAAATGAAACGAAATCGAAATTAGGGCCAAATATAGAAGAAGAGTAGCCGCCGAAGTACTGCTTGTTGCTTGGGTTTGTTGCTTGTTTCTTGAGTCTCTGTTTACAAGTGCTGTGGTGTAAGAGAGACAGATGAAGAGATTTTATGAAGTGCCTTGAAAAATGTAATAATAATAATAATTCTAGTTGCCTTTGCCAGTCATGGCTTATTTGAAGCTTCTCTTAGATCCTAAAGCTGACCTGACAGGTGCTTATATCTATCCAGCCCCAGCCCCATTTCTGCCGTCTACAGACAGGCACCGAACTTAGGTTTATTGAGCCCCTGGTGGGCTGGCGATATCGCAAGTGCAGGCCTGCCCTTCTCTATGTATGCCACATATGCTATGTATGTCTCCTGTTGCAGTTTGTTCTCTATTATTTGTCCCACTGTCTGCTGTGGCGAAAATACACAATTTACATCATTAATTACACAAATTCAGTTGCCGTTAGGGTTGCCATGTTTTGACGAGCAAAACAGAGGACACATTTGCCGACTTCTCCTTTTAACTACGGATCTCTACGACAACTCTCATTTCACATACCGTATTTTTCGCTCTATAAGACACACTTTTTCCCTCCTAAAAAGTAAGGGGAAATGTGTGTGCATCTTATGGAGTGAATGCAGGCTGCGCAACTATCGCTGAAGCCAGAAGAGCAAGAGGGATCTGTGCACACCAATCCCTCTTGCTCTCCTGGATTCTGGTATAGCCACACAAAGCCTCTTGAGCGCAGCCGGAGCGCTCCTCCCTCTTCGCTCAGGAAGCTTTGCGTTGCTTTCTTGTTTCTTGTTTTCCTCCTCTAAAAACTAGGTGTGTCTAATGGTTGGGTGCGTCTTATAGAGCGAAATATACTATACCTATGAAAAGGAGGACATGTCCTGGGAAAAGAGGACATGTGGCAAACCTAGCGGGTGTTGAGTTATTCCACCCCATTCATTTCATTGCAGAGAAACCACAGCGCAAAGGGGGAGATTGGGGGGTAAACAGTGGCAGAGCAAGCCAGTCAGGCACCTGGGGCGGCGCACGTGCCCTGCCCATGGGGGCACCGTGGGGCCTCCAAAGAGTCTGCCTGCCTCCTCCCACTCAGCCACCCCACAGCTGAGGGGGAGACAGCGGGCGGACCGTTTGGGGCTGCGGGGAGCCTGCAGGGCGCTCAAGCCAACGCATCACTTCCCAGGAGAGATGTGTGACTCGGACGCGCTGCAGGCCCCACTGTGAGTGCCGCCCACCATTTTGTCACCCCCTCCCTCTGTGGGGACATCCGGGGCAGACCGCACCTACCGCACCCCCCTTGCTACAGCCCTGGGTGTAAAAAATGGCATAATGTTTACAGCAGGGGTCAGCAAACCTTTTTCAGCAGGGGGCCGGTCCACTGTCCCTCAGACCTTGTGGGGAGCCAGACTATATTTTGAAGAAAAAAATGAATGAATTCCTATGCCCCACAAATAACCCAGAGATACATTTTAAATAAAAGGACACATTCTGCTCATGTAAAAACACCAGGCAGGCCCCACAAATAACCCAGAGATGCCTTTTAAATAAAAGCACACATTCTACTCATGTAAAAACACGCTGACTGTCTGCGGGCCGGATTTAGAAGGCGATTGGGCCGCATCCGGCCCCCGGGCCTTAGTTTGCCTACCCATGGTTTACAGGCTAAGACCAACAGTAGCAGCAAATACTGATTGTATTCGCTGGATTGAATTGTGTTCCAGACATGGGACGGATAAAGGGCTGTGCGATTTGACTGCTGTAATCATAGAGGCTGAGCCCTTGCTTCCACGTGATACATTCAGACCTTGGTGTCAGGATCAGGGATTCATTTGTTTTCTTCTGGCGCAATCGCTTTGATGTAAGCATAGTACCAAAGACATAAAGTTGTTAGCCTTCCAGTTTGACCAGAACAAAGGCCTTGGGTATATAGGCTTAGTTAATAAAGAATAAAACAAACTTTTTTATACCTACAGTTTTGTAAATTATGACCTTGACATTGTACTTATTTATAATGCTTTGGGAAAGTTTACTGTTTTGCTTTGGTAGTTTACTAAGGAAATTTAGGCACAATGGGAATAAAATGTTTAAAGTTGTTCCATTTTTTTTAAAAGAAAAGACAAATTCTTCGCCTTCCATTCTCGTGTTTTTGCATTTAGTCCACAAGCTGTTGACATGTGAGCTTGGGAAAATGGTGTTGTTTTAGGAACATGACTTCATTTTTGAGCTTTCAGTTGTGTTGGAATCCGTGTCTCATCACCCCTGACTATTAGCCATGCTAACAGCAGCTCATGGAAATTGGAGCCTAACTTCTGGAAGACCAACATGTCACCCGTCCCAGTTTTAGGGTGCAACCTGCTCAGAATGTCTCTTCACTTTGTTGACATCCGTCTGTCTTGAGAGACAATGGAGTATGCCTCTGGAGGTGAAATGACCTCCCTGGGGCGCAAGCCTACACAGGCCCCATTCAAATGAATGGAATTTGCTCTTAACACTGTTCCCATTCGTTTCAGTAGGCCTGGTGCTTTGGAACTTCCTGGTGAACTGTGCAACCAACGCTTCCAATGTAGTAATCTGCTCTAGGCACAAAAGCTTTGGTAGCCATTCAGAGCATCATTGCTGCTACAACTTCCCTATTCATTCCAATTGAGGAGGTAGAGTCCAGGGGTCAGCAAACTTTTTCAGGAGGGGGCCAGTCCACTGTCCCTCAGACCTTGTGGGGGGGCAAGACTATACGGTGGTACCTTGGGTTACAGACGCTTCAGGTTACATACGCTTCAGGTTACAGACTCCGCTAACCCAGAAATAGTACCTCGGGTTAAGAACTTTGCTTCAGGATAAGAATAGAAATTGTGCTCTGGCGGCGCGGCGGCAGCAGGAGGCCCCATTAGCTAAAGTGGTGCTTCAGGTTAAGAACAGTTTCAGGTTAAGAACGGACCTCCGGAACGAATTAAGTACTTAACCCGAGGTACCACTGTATTTTGAAGAAAATATATGAATGAATTCTATGCCCCACAAATAACCCAGAGATGCATTTTAAATAAAAGGACACATTCTACTCATGTGAAAACATGCTGATTCCTGGACCGTCCGCGGGCTGGATTTAGAATGTGATTGGGCTGGATCTGGCCCCTGGGCCTTAGTTTGCCTACCCACGAGGTAGACCCATGGACACTCTCCCTTGCCTACAGCAGTCTTTCCCTTCCTCTGGTGTGATGGAAGTACCATACTTTTCCGTGTATAACATGTCCCCTTGTATAAGACGCCCATATTAAGGGGGACTCCATATTAAGAAAATGGCCCATTGCAGGAACCCGAAGTTGTTGAGCTTTTTGTGGGGAGGCTTGAACAGAGCTGACCTTATTTTAGAGTAAAAAAACCTCATCTAATACACGAAAAAGTACAGTAGCCTTGTGCTAACAAGAGATACAGGAACACACTGATATCTGGATCAGGTCACATGCAGCTTATTTGAAATAAGGTCAAAGTTCAGTTGGGTACAAACTCGGGGACATCTCACGCTTTTTAGACAAAGGGCCAAATTACAGGCTTTAATAAGCTACTTTTAATTTAAAAGTGGCGGTGGGGCGGGGAATCTGTATTTATTTATTTATTTATTTTGCCTAAAAACCTTTCTGGCTGCTACTTGCCTCGGAAACTGCTGCTTGCAGCCCAGAATGTGGATCTCGACCCTATGATTGATTTTCCTTCAAAAAAAGAGTAGCATCTGGTGAAACCAGAGCGGTGCACAGAAACGCCATTTACCTTCCCGCCAGAGCGGTACCTATTTATCTACTTGCACTGCGTGCTTTCGAACTGCTAGGTTGGCAGGAGCAGGGACCGAGCAACAGGAGCTCACCCCGTCGCAGGGATTTGAACCACCGACCTTTCGATCCACAAGCCCAAGCAGCAGAGTGGTTTAACCCACAGCACCACCCGCGTCCCTGTCATTTGGGACTCATATTGAAATACTGCCCCTCAATGAGGCCGAACTTATCCGACAACGAGAAAACAATTGTAAGGTGGTCAAAATATAAAATAAAAAGGGCCTTGGCTCTGCAAATTCTGCCCAAAATAGAGAGGCTGAATTCTCTCTATTCCTGGGCCAATGCACACTTATCTTGAGGGCAGTTGAATTATAGAACTCCCTCATACAAGGAAATGGATGTGGCAAAGAATTTAATTGCAGAGAAGCATTAGATATTAACATAAAATAATACCAGCAATTGCCAACTGATGTTACCTCCTCTACTGCCATAATTCTGAGAAATGCTTGACGTAACAAGAACATTTTCTGCAGACAGCAAAACATGGAAATTGCAGTCGCCTGCCTAATTTTCATTTGAAAATGTTCCAAAATACTAGTGTCACTACACTAAAAACTGTGGGTCAATTTGGGTCAAACTCAATGAAAGCGAGGCAATAGGATTGCAGGGGTTTGGCTGGTTTATAAGGACAAGTCCTTATAAACTTGGTCCTGGTCCATTTAGGGTTTTGTACTTTAGCAGTGAGGGACGTGGGTGGCGTTGTGGGTTAAACCACAGAGCCTAGGACTTGCTGATCAGAAGATGGGCGGTTCGAATCCCGCGACGGGGTGAGCTCCTGTTGCTCGGTCCCTGCTCCTGCCAACCTAGCAGTTCGAAAGCACGTCAAGTGCAAGTAGATAAATAGGTACCGCTCCAGCGCGAAGGTAAACGGCATTTCCG